CCCCCCCAAACTTAACTCCCAACCAATGTGGGACTTTGGCATTTTGCCAAACTTCAACATTAGTAACATCCATTTCCATCAATATACGAGCATAGGAAATACGATCATTTTTAGTGGTACAATCATCTGCAAATAATGGAATTCTCAACCGACTCTCTATCCTATTCCACACTCCAACAGTTCAAGGTTAGATTAGGAAGCTTTACCCAAAGTGGAATAGTTTTCAGTATCTCATCATTGAAGATGAATTCTGGGGACCAAACTTCAGTAATAACTGGCTTGTTGCTTATAGTGTGAGGCCCAGAATACAGCACCGCATCCCTATCTTCCATGCTGTAAAACCAGATAACAAAGTAACCATCATCGTGATATAACACCTTTGGCTTTGAGATGAAATTCCATTGTGTGGCAATGAATCGCTCCAGTGAACCAACAGTTGGCGTATCCCCTACCACATAAGGATAATTGCTTGCTTCCATTTCTCAGTCTCCTTCTCCACTTCACTTCGTGATAATTCGACAATTTTCTCACTATTCCGGATTGTACGGGCTACGTAATGCAACTTCATTCCTCTCGATGCTAATCTGTTTCCCTGAACTATAATTTGCCCTGAGTTCCATTATGAGTTTTATTCCTCTGGGCAGTTACTGGCTGCGTAAGCTAGTTTTCTGACAGCCCTAAGTTCGAGATTTGTCTTTGCGTTGTTGGAATTGAGCTTAATACATCCTGAAATCGGCCTTGCTTCAGCTATATTAGCAACACGTAGTGGAGTATTAAGCTCGTTTCTCCGATTTGGTACGGGAGCTTTATTGGTGTTCTTCCTCGGCGCGCATGTTAGAAAGGGCAAACTATCGTGCGCCTAGAGAGTGATAGTTCGGTACTTCTCAATATTTGTTTCGATATTAACGCGGGATTTTACTTTTCTTTATGCACATACCTAGTAGAAAAATTAAAAAAGGACAAGTGAACTTACCGCAGATTCCAGAAAAATCTGCGCTTCTTGCATTTGCCATGACGAATAATCTCTGTAAAAATCAAACAAATTTGCAGTTCGAAAATCACTTGCCCTAACAGCTAATTATAGAAACTCAAAATAAAAAAGAGGGGGAAAAGAGTGCTCACGAAAGATGAACTTCGGTAAGTTTGAAGAGAGAGCCGAGAGCTGCAACTGCTAAACCTTCTTCTGCTTCACGCGTTACGCTTTCCATTTGTTTCTGATAAAAATCTCTACTTACTGTGCAAGTCAGTTGCTGAGAAAAGCTTATACTATTACATTACTATATACACACACGGGCACCGATAAGGACCGTAAGAAATCAACGCCTTCGGGTCGTTTCTGAGTTGAAACGCCGCTCTTTTTCAGGAAAAAGTTTCAACGTAAGACTATCTTCAAGCCGAAACGTTGAATTTGCAGGAAAACAACTTGGACATTGCGGCGGTCCGGCCCTTTGGGCAAAAAGGATTTTCGAAAATAAAAATTGAAATTCTGTTTCTTTGTGAATGTTGAAGATATGTTTGGCTAGTCAATTACTCATAGTTTTTGTTTTCTTTTTTTAAGATTTATTTATAGTAGTAAATATTTGGGGAGCAGAAGAACAATGTTTGGAACAATTAAAAAACTTTTCAACTTTTTTCTAAATAATTTTCCAAAATTTTGAAAAAAAACCCAATCGATCTTAATAATAACTTCACTTTTAACGACAACAGAAATATTACACAAACATACTACAAAAAAAAAAGTTATTTTGGCACGACACTTATGATGAGTTTAGCAGTTAATATTTGTGTACTAATTATCCTAATATTAATAAACTTTTCTTTTTGGTCAAAAGATAAAATAATGGGTGAAAATCATTTACATCTCCCAAATTTGGTTTAGAAATCAAACTCATCCTCCAACTTTGAACAAATATCATTTTTCTCCTCATATCAAAAGTGACTTCCTAAAATACCTATTTTACCCTCTACAAATTTTATCTCTTATTTTTATTCTTTAATATAATAATATTTTTTCATTTTATTATGTTATCGACTTAACTATAGACAAATTAAATAAACTTTTTTGAAATTAAAAAGAATGTAAATGACGGTCATAGTGAAATAAATGAAAAAAAAAACAATAAATAATTTACTCGTATTAGTAATTTTATTAATAGCAATCAAAACTCAATCTATTTATAAAATTGAGAATAAAAGAAGATGAAAATTTTATAAATTATACAGTACAGATAATAAAAAATAACTGGCGAAAAATAGAGGTAAGCTTTATAATATATTACCAAAAATTATCTATTTACACTTTACATGAACTTTAATTATAATTTAGAAAAAATATACTAATAACAATCAAAACTCAAAATTTTTATATAGACATGAAAAATAACAAAAATAGTGGAACTTAAAATCACACACACCGATATTATATGCATTTTAATATACATAATATTAAAATAATAATAATAAAGTAGCAATATATTTTGTAATAAATTCATAATTTAATTACTTTATTTATAATGTTAATGAACTTAGATTAAATTATATAATAAGATATAATATTACTTAAATTATGAATAAATTATACTTGCATTAAAATATCTATATAATATTAAAAAAGATATTACGTATATGGGGAGTTGAATATGCCAAAGGATAAAATAGATATTGCATAGGATAAAAGGATGAAAATAATAATTGTTCAAAGTTGGAAGATGAGTTTGATTTTTAAAATATACTTGGAAGATGTAAATGACTTTCACCCCAAAATAATATATAATTCTAAATACTATTAATAGATTTACTTATTAGTCGCTTTTTTGTAACCCGCTTATTTATTACTATCCACTAATAGGTCTACTAATTGACTACTATCTCATGATTTTTTGTTCAAATAATTTAGACACAAAATTCTTATGTATTTTTTAAGTACTTCCTACCGGCTACCCCTATATATATATAGTAGTATTACTTCCTTTCTATATATATATATATATATATATATGCAAGGTGACTTGACATCTCTCTTTGTCCAAGGATCATATTTATCTTTTCTCTCCTTTTTTGCCTTTTTCTCTTATTTTTATTTAAGTAAATTAGCTCAATAATAGATTGAGTCTCTTTGGTTGCCCACTTTTATTGTACTCTTTAAACCATTCAGTTTAAAAACTCCAAAAGTCAACTTCTGAAACCTTATTCTACCGTTCCAATACTTCCTTCTTGCCCTATAATTGCTTATTATTAATTGATATATTAACATATGCTTATCTATATAAATATATAAAGGAGGGCAAATGAATGCTGACATGGCACATCTCTTGAGCTAGCATTACTATTTATCTCTTCTCTCATTTATTTGGCATTTTTCTCCTTATTTTTCCGTTAAGTAATTATTTCTTATATATATAAGATGTGACATTACAGATTCTTTCGTTTACACTTTTACTATACGTTTTGGAAAAGACTCCTCACCAAAAGGGGCTCTATAAATATTTTGTAACGCTTTTTCCCCTTCCCCTATTTAGCAAGGTCATTAACAGAGAATTTCAAAAGTCAATCCATTCTGATTTCTAACCTTCACTGTATCCATTTAAGTGCACCCAACATTCAACAGAACTGCATTATTTTCTTCTCTCAACGGAAGAGATCACTTTGAAACTTTTTGCAACTTCAAGGTCTACTTTCTTTTCTTTATATTCTATTTTATAATAATTTGATGGTTTGAGAATAGTCAAAATTGACTACTCTGATTATTTTATTTTTTTATGCAGATGAAGTATAAAATGAAAAGTCGCAAAGCTCTTTTTGGCGTTTTTGGAACTTCCAGATTTTCTTAGTTGTCTGCTCTGCTTATTATAAGTTTATAATTTGAAAATAGTGAGTTGACTATTTTGATTGGTTTTTTGGATGCAGGTGAAGCACAAAATAAAGACGCATCGCAATGAGAATATTGACAGTATTGATGCAAGTCATGAAGGGATCAACTTAACACAAGGCTGTTGATGTATTTTGTTGTTCCTTTTCCCTTTTTCTGGGCTCATCTCATATTGGTTCAAATTTCGCTACTTTTTTGAGGGGGGACATAATGAAAAAAAACTTTATTTTTTGTAGACGTTTAGTGCGGAGATCAGTACTATAATAAACTCATTTTGTTAGATTTTATGAACGAGTTAAACTAATTTTGTAACATTTTTTGGATTTTAACAAACTCTATTATGGGGTTAGTTTTTCTCTTCTGATAAGTAATTAGAGAGGCTATTCGGATCCCGAACTATTTTAGATCTATTAATTCATTCAAGCTTAAGCTTTCTGTGTGTATGTGATGATTGCAACATACGTATGAAAAGATATACACATAACTTTATAATTATAGGAAGTTCGGTGGTGAAAGTTCGGTGGTTAAACACTTTTGTTTTTCAACTACATGAATAATTCAGTAATTTAATAACCAATGAAATTGGACGATTAAGGTCCAATTCCTTTGAGTCCTCATTCAATTCATGCTTCCACATTTTGTGTAAATAGATAATTGTCGTTTTATTTTAAATAAGATCATATAAGTAACCGAAAGAACGGTTGCTATAGCATACTTCTTTTAGGAGAGCTAATTGTTTGGGCAAGAGTAAAAGTATTTTCTACGCAAAAATAGAAATTTCATTGATACTTTAAATATTATCTTCGTTTTACTAGGAAAAAGTTCTTTGTTTTCTTTAATACCCTCGCGACCAAAGAGTTTGTTTTCATCAAGATAAGTTTCAATTGTGTTCTATTTACCTCTAGGTTTCATTGTAAGTTTAAATTTGAACTATTTAAATTTATACAATCTATTTTTAGATGTTTATATTAGTAATTTGACTTTGTTTATTTAAATACAAGGTATGTACTATCCAAGAACAAGATAATTATGTTGACCGAGCAAGAGTGCTTTTCTCAAATGCCTTTTTGTTGTTACAATATTTTTTTCTATTTTACCTATATATATATATATATATATATATATATATATATATATATATATATATATATATATGTATATTTTCATCTTTTAATATACGAATAATTATAAATTTTAAATATGTTTATGTTGTAATTAGTAGTCTTAAGATGAAATTTATCTAATGTTAATTTTAGTTTGAGATTTATATATTCTTAATATTAGAATTTTTCTTAATAACATAAACTTAAATTCATTGATATCATGTACGAGACTTTTTGTTGCTGATAAAAAATTTTGTAAGAAAAATTATAATTGAAATATGTTTATTTCGTAATTAGTAGTCTTAAAATAAAATTTATCTAATTTTAATTTTAGCTTGAGCTTTTTATATTCTTAAAAAAAATTCTTAATTAGATAAAAATTAAATTTAACAATATCATATACCACTGCGCATCGCGCGGGCAAATTTTCTAGTTTGGCTTATATATTCAGCCCCCATACTAGCCAACAAAAGCAAATTTAGGAATGGAGGTTAGTAGAGCAAACACTTCTATGAGTTCTTTGGAAAGGTATGGATTTTTGGTGCTTTGGAATAAAGTAAAGCGGTACAATTTTGTCTTTTTTGCTACCGGGGATGCTTTTTTATCTTTTGTTCTATTTTAAGAAATTTTTAGGTTTTGCTTTAAACACTTAGGTTCTGGATATATAATTGTTATTACGAGCAGTTGCGCAATGAGAGATAAGTTGTGGCGATTTGGAGATGTAAAGATTGTACCAAGGTAGTGCTTATACATTGAGTAAACATATTTTTCAATTTGAAGAACACCTTGATGTAGCTATCGTGGAAAAGTGGATATATTCTAAGAAAATTATTGTCGTTTCATCTTTTCTTGCACTTGAATTTTAGAGTACTCTATTTCAAGGAAAAAAATTTATTATCTTCATTTTGTTTTCTATATACATCTATTATCCAAGGTAATTTTCTGATTGTGATTCATCTAAAATATTGATATATTTAACCCCAACTTGTGTTGAAGCTGAAACTTTTATTGTAGGTCTAATAAGTGATGCAAAGTTTTATCCTCATTAAAATGTAAGAGTCTAAATATAAAATTTATAACTATTATTATTATTATTATATTATTATTATTATTATATTACAATAAATAAAATATATTAAATATAAATAGCATTTAGCCGTAATGAAATGCAAGAGAATTTAACGTGATATTTTTTTCTTTCTCTCTAGAAGTCTCTAAATACTTTTTCTCATCTTCTCTTCTCCAATGTTTTCATATATGAATTTGATTGAAATTTCAAAAGTATTTCTCCAATGTTTTCATATATGAATTTGATTGAAATTTCAAAAGTATTTCTCCAATGTTTTCATATATGAATTTGATTGAAATTTCAAAAGTATATAATCAATATATATACATATAGAGAGAGAGACAAGAGGGGTTGCTCTGATGGTAAGCAACCTCCACTTCCAACCAAGAGGTTATGAGTTCGAGTCTCCCCAAGAGCAAGGTGAGAAGTTCTTGGAGGGAAGG